AACTTGCATTATAGCCGGGTGTTACCGTTGTATACTTCTGTCCACTAACATTCAAAATGTATGAAGCATTCTAAACGCAGTTCATGGTTTCTTGTGATAATAGACGTGCACACTTTTGCTCATTGTTGTGCTAAATTCGTAAAGCATTCCATGTACATAGTTTCTTTTGAATAGTAGATCTTAATGTTCCCAAAGCCTTAAGTGCAACCAGTTCCACAGTAGATAACTGAAAGTTGTAAGCTCCAATCCTTGGTTGTGCATAGATTGGATCAGTTAAAATATATGACACATCCCCCTAGTAACAAAGGCTAGGAAAGTCTTGTAAAAGTTGAACATGCCATCACTCACTTGGTGGTAAAATTTAAAAAATGTGTTTCTTGCCCCATCTATTATCTCTTTTATATTCTGCTCATTCATATCCTCACTGAATGTTTCTAAATACTGTGCACATTTTCACCAATTGTTTTTAGAATAATAAACTCTTCAGACTTAAATTTTCCTTTGCTACTCAAAAATTCAAAAAAGGAATATTTTTACTAAAAACTTGCTTTTACTATGCCATTGGTGTTTTGATACTCACTCACATTGTGCAGACCTTAAACAGGGGACCCAGACGGAACAAACCTTTCAAACCTTTTTCCTGGGCATTCTTTCAGTTTTCATAATCTTTCCTATACCCTCTCTGCTCTCTTGAAAGGTTGAAGAGATGAAAGGAATTCAAGGCCACTTGAGGCAAAGAATGTCATATGTTCTGGATATCAGCTGGTCTAAGCTAGAGCCATTAAAGTGGTTGTAAACCCTTTCATATACCCAGTGAAGCGACTGGCCTCAGGTGATACACCAAGATGAAACACATTCTCCTTCATAAGTTGTACCTGTTTATCTGCAGTCTTTTCTTCAGTAAGGAGAGCTCTGAGAGCATATTAGAGGAAATGGTCAACACGCACGCACGCACGCACACACACACACACACACACACACACACAATGCCCTGTCACCATTCAACTCTCGGTGTCAAGAAAACTTGTCTGAAGTGTCTTATGCTAATAGCAATGGAACAAAGCAGCAGAGAGAAATGACACTTGGTGCTTTTAATTGAGGCAAGTACACAATATAGAGGGATATACTTTGTTCATATTTTATGTCAAAGGTTTACAACCACTTTAAAGCTGAAGTCTGGGCATAAAAACGTTTGTTTACATATCTATCTAAAAAAAAAAAAAAAAGCCATATGCAGGTAAAGAAAGTACCTTCGATTGCTCTCAGCCTCGTCCAAATCCCCAAAGTCTATTTTTTTTTTTTTTTTACTCCATTGTATATCCATTTGAATCAAGTCTCACTTCTGTCCATACTGCACCTTGTGTTCACATGGCTTTGTGAATACAATTATTACAGCGTATTGCAGTGCAGGAAGCTGAGGTGTCGGAGGGACCCAGAAGGGCCCACCCACTACAGATTACCTGCAGAAAGCAACAAATAGAAGACCAGTCACCCTGCATAAGGGGAGAAAGCAGCAGTCACAGGAAGCTCTTGCACAAAGAAAAAGTTTCACGCTGGAATACTGCACAGATCTAAAAGAAATGTACAAAGCACACCACGATTCAAATAAGAATACGCATCTGTTGTATTTATTTAATGTTTGGTTATCTCAGAGTTCAGCTTTTTTTTTTAATTTTTTTTTTTTTTTTTTATAAGTTTAAGAAAATTTTTTAGTGAATTTGTGTCCATACAGTGCACACAAAGTATTTGCATGTTGTGAACAGGCAGTAAAACACCTGTTTAAACAAGCCTTTGATCTCCTCTGTAACTTTAGCAAGCATTTTGGAGAAATTGGAGACATTGTGTAATTTTTTTTCATATTCTTGTCTATTGCTACAAAATACAGCAGCTTTCCAGCCTTCTAATTCAAATACACAGCAGGTGTTTCTGAGGTGTTAGAAACCCTCTGAAACCAGACCTTACAGTGGTTGCTGAGATCTTTTTGATCAGGATTTTGAGAATTAATTCCTTTACAGTACAGGCAGCTAAAGAGGTCAGGGATAGCTTGATTTTTTACTACTTCTTAAGAAAATGTAAGTACATTAATGTTCATAGTCTTTTCACAAGCGCACATGAAATATCTACTGTAATTTTCCAGAAAAAGATAAAATTGTCCTAAAAGTACAACCATACCTGTATTAAATTAATTTGACAAACTTTGTGTTTCATCTAAATAATATAAAAATTGTAACCTAAAAAAAGTCCTCTCCTTCACCTAATTTCCTCTCTCTTCATAGTCCTCATGCACACTGGACGTTTTTATAGCTGCTGTTTTTGGCTTTTGATGTTTTTTTTTTTTCTACAGCCAGTAATCTCCCCAGCATGTTATCCTAAGTTTTTTTTAGCTGTAAAAATGCTCTAACACTGAAAAAACACAGTAAAACTCCTCAAACCGGCATTTTGGGACTTTTTTTTACCAAAAAGGAAACATTTTTTTTGTAAAAAAAAAAAAAAAAAAAAAGGCTAAAAAACACAAATGTGGAAAAGCGCCGCCAAACACTAATGCAAAAACACTATAAAAGCTGAAAAAACTCACGTTTTTAACGTGACTTTACACAGCTAACGTTAGCGTTATCAAAACGCCCAGTGTGCATGGCGCCTTATTGTTCTCTGGGACAGGAAGTAAAGAAAAATTCCCTCAGACTGCAAAAAAGAAAAAACAGGCATTTTAATAATTTCCTACTCTATAAAAAAAAAATAGTACTATACCAGTTAAACGTCATTGAGCTTTTCAACGGTCATTCAAGATGATATATAATAATTTCTGTATCATTCATCAAAAGTATTTATGGGTGCAGGATTTGATCAGTATCTTTTATGTGCACAATTAAGCTGGCCATGAATGGATTGAAATTTGGCTGGTTCAGTAGGGACTGGACAAATTTCAATCCGTCTATGGCTATTCCCACTTGACAGAAGAAGTCGAACAGGAATGTTGGAAAATTTTTCATTCGAACATCAGCTGCAGCACTAATTAGTATATTCTGAGAGCATGGGAGTCCCGCTGTCAAAATACAAAAGAACAGTAGGTTGTATTTCTCCATCCACCTTGTGCAGATAGGGGAATCTTTATTTTTTATTTTTTTAGATTGGCCTGCCTTGTTTAAAAAAAAAAAAAACCCATCTATAGGCAGCTGCAGAATTACTTGATAATTTACCTAACAATTTTTTTTTATATTATTTGAAATAACATTTACTGGTCAGTCAAAAATAGCAACTCTGTATTATTTCATGTTTTGTCATGTCTTATAGGCACAACTGTGGTAACAGCAGCTGTAGTTGAAACATACATGCCTACTAAAGTTAGGACGACACTGAAGGTGGATTTTCAGTTTGATTCACTCTCCTTGAATTTGTATAGCTCCAGTTCAAACTCCCCTCTGGTAAAACTTCTGTTGGCAAAACTGTGTAAACATTTATTAGCTGCACAAGGTTATTTCATTATGATTATGATCATTATCCTTTTTCTTATTTTTCATAGATGAAGGCTGTTGAAAGAGACAGTGCTCTACAACTTGCTGAATTCACATTGGGTTTGATTTCAGCTGCAGTAAAAATGTCATCTGATGGGGCAATGAGTGCTGCTGTTAAACTCAAAAATTGCATGTTGGATGACAAGAGACAAGCCATCCAGAAAGCAACTCCACGGTACTGTGCCAAATTTGTACCAATCAGATGTTAAAGAATATGTAAACGAAACAATTCATATTCATGATATGTGCCTGCTGTACCATGTATTTGTGTTAAAAAAATAAAAAACAAAAGTATCCTCTTTGTTTTGCGGTGTTGTTGGACCTCAATGTACAGAGGTCAATATCAGTATGGTACAATCCCCATGCAGGATTCATGAATACATCTCTGCATCTGCATCAGTCCCTGAGGATATGCTTTTGTGACGACACACATGGGGAGGAGTTTCTGGATGCTGATGCCATAATTTATTTCTGAAGTTACACTGTTAACAGCATATTTGAATACATTTAATTTTGAATACATTTAATGTTTATATGTGTTTTTAAATAAAAAAACCCTGGGTTATCTACACTACTGGAGTGTCTTCCCTTTAAAAACAGTACTGGAAGCGGAGTGGTGGCTGTAATCCGTTTGTGAATCCTGTATAGGGATTTTACCATACTCACGCCTATAGTGACATCTGTACTTTGAGGTCCAACCTTTTGGTAAGCCTTGGATTTAAGTGTAGTGGTGGTGATTGGTTTAGACAGATGTCTCACTTATGCTGAAGAAACTTTGGTGAAGTGGAGTTACGCAGGTACACCTTGCATACGCTTACTTGTGGAAGATGAGACAAACCATTTACCACTGACAGGGGTGCATATAATCATCCACTTTTATTTATGTAAAACCTTTATCCCAAAAGGAAACGCTATGCTGTAACTGCTAATAAATTGTTAGCTGGAGTTTGGCTTCAGTTTGTTAGTATATCTAAATCTGCTAGTCCATCTAACACTCCCCTCCCTCCAGACTGACAATGCTGCTGTCCAACGGTGCCCCTGTGCTCCTTCATCCAGAGTGTAGTCCCTGTAATATAGGAGGCATATTACTGGCCACGTCACCAGGTGAAAACAAAAAAAAAAGCCTTAAAAAAGAAAATTACTGCATCTACCACTCTAGGAATTGATAAGCTGCAATATATTCCATTTTTGGTTTGGGGTTTAATACCACTTTAACATCAAAATGCTCTTATTTGAAATATTTTATGCTCTTGCTGCCGTGTCCATCTAGCTCAGAAATACAATGCCTTTCTTTATTAATTCATACAAAATTTAAGATACCTATAACTAAAGCCAGTTATGTTTATAAACATTGCTTGTATCTGTTTTAGAATGCTGGAAATGAAACGTGGCCAGGAGAAAAGTGTCATGGTAGATGCCTTCTATAAACAAGGAAGAGAAGGCACAGCCATGGATGTGAGTGTTCATGACATTTATCTGTGTGCCAGCATGGAGTTTCTGCTCACTGTGGCAGATGTATTTCTTAAAGCCTATGAGCAAAGTTCTGCTGCATTGAAGAGCAGCAAGCCGACATCAACAGATGTTAAAGAAGCAGGTTGAGTATCTATTCCTTCTGTTTACCAGACATACAATTTTAAAGCAAATGTAAAAGTTATAACTGACTTTCTCTCTTTTTTAACTTTTAGCTCCTGCACAACAGGTTTCTAGAATGGAAATGAATGTTGTGGTTAAGAATCCAGAATTTGTGTTTGTGGCTGATTTGTCAAGAGCAGATGCCCCAGCACTAGTACTTACAATGCAGTGTGAGCTGTCCATCAAAAACAGCCCTGAACAGCAGCATATGTCAGCTGCAGTAAGGAGTCTTCACGTGAAGGCCTGTCCCTTTCTGCCAGAAAATAGAATGGGGAAAATAACTACGGTGAGAAGATGTTTACAGCTATTGTGCAGTTAGTCGCTTATAATGTTGGTCCCTGATACAGTAAAAAGGAGAGTTGAAAGGTTAGATCAACCCAAAATGGCATGGACATTATGTTATTCTTGTCAGAAAAGAAAGTAGAAATCCTTCCAGTAGTTTGTGCCTTTGCCCCTGCCACAAGGCTATAATGAAAATTATTATATTATTATTTTTTTGGCTGTACTCCACAATCACATATTCTTCAGTATTGAGAATCAGGTGAGTGTGACACAATCTGACCCAATTTACAACTTTGCAATGTCTGCAGAAGTTGAGCAAAGTTGTGCATTTTGTTAGAAATATCTTGCCTAGAAACCCTAAGAGATATACAGATCCTGCTGTTTTATGCTGTATAAATTCACAATCCCAGCAGATCCAGCATTGTTCTCTCGTACTGCACTCCTCTTGTCAGTCCTGTTCCACAAAGCCATCTTCCTCTCCAGCGTCATCAGAGAGCTGGCTCTCTCTTTCTGGCTCCTGTAGCTGGCCCCCTGGTGACGTGACGCCTGATGTACCTTCCTGGTGCTGTGTGGAAGCCTGCAGCCTCCTAAAATATACATGTCATTGTTCTCCAGATAGCTTCAGAGGGAGGCAGGTGAATGTGCCAAAATAGGTAAATAAAAACATTTTTTTTCACAAGAATTTTAAAAAAGGTTTTGCAATTTTGTGTTTTTTGGATTCTTTGAGCGAAGGTCCACTTTAATCTTAACCACTTCAGCTCTCACAACCATACACCAATATGGACCAAAGCAAGTTTTACTTTTCTACTATCTGTTTGGCAATAACTTTGGCATTACTTAAGCTAACAAAGGAATACATATATTGTGGGGGGGTTTGTTGTTTTTTTTTAGACAAACAAGGCTTTTGTTTGGTGATATTGTCTTGCAAAAATAATTTTATTGTTATGCAGTCCTTAAACAATAAATGTGCCAAAGCCAAAAAGATGCACTTTTTTCTACTGCACTTTGATCGGTGTTTTGTTTTTTTTTTTTTTTTTTTTTTAATTGCATTATTGCAGATCAAAAGCATATTTTTTTCAGTAATTTGTCCTCTTTAAATTGACACAAAATATGACCCTGGTAGAACACATTGCAAATGTAGTACATGTTTCTTTAATGCTTTTTTCTTTAATCTCTTCATGGCCCCCTGCTCGTAATGTACTATGGGCGGACGCCGCTGCCTACATCTGGGTTTCTGGTGTGCCTATGCACCAATCCCTCACCCCCCGAATCTTCCACTATGAAGATTGGGAACACCTTGACAAGTCTCTCAAATGCAAACAGGCTCATAGGTCCTACATACATATGTAAACAATGATTGCATTTTAGGTATCTTGTCTCTTGGTGCAATATTCCATTTTAGATTTTAACAAAAAATTGGGTATTAAATTGTGATTGTGGGCACTAAGATTGATTAAGGTGTATTTTTTCCTGATAATTTGCTGCCCAAATATCATGTAATATAAAAAAAAATGCAAATGCATTTTATTCCCCAGTGTCTCTGCTTTCATAAAATATATAATGCTTGAGGGTTCTAGGTAATTTGTAGCAAAAAAATGCTGATTATAAGATGTATGAAAGAAATGTCAGAATCGGCCCTGAATGGGATTGGTTAAGGACCCAACGGATGAGCGGTTAAAAGCCCTCTCTGGAGATCTGTTCTTGCTGGTAGGCCCTGCAAAGTCCCTTAAAAGGTATCTTGCCACTACTGTGAAATATATCATTTTCCTAGAATGTTTGGAGAAACTGGGTTTAGCTTTAAGCTACAGTTGTGCTGGGCGGCGTGAAGTTTCCTGTCTCATGTTCCATGGATCTCTTCTCAACACACAAGCAGGAGATATATAACCTAAAGTATTGAACTGCAGAACCCATGTCAAAAAAGCACCTGATCTGCATGTCCTTTGAGAGGTAATGCCTCTTCAATGCTACTCTGGATACCATTATTAAGGATGATACTGGTTGCACGCACACCTATCTTACTCTGCATAAGAAACATAAGCCACAAACCGGGAAGGTTTGTCCTCTGCTCCGGCAACAAACTCTACAAACGTGGCTGATTTTCCAACCACAAGATATAAGACTTCAAGTCCGCCAAACCCTCTGACAAATTGTTCTATGCACCCCAAAAGTGAATGACTTCCTGTATTCCTTAATGAAGAAGAAAAAAAATTAATAATCATGCTTGGTTGTGCTTTGCTTCAAAATTGAAGCATGCTGGTAGTGGAAGGGGTTTTCCTGGGTTGGCCTACAGTTTTTATTCTACCAGTGCCCAACTCTTCTGTGGGCATCTATATATCCTGAAAGTATATGACTTTGTGTCCCCCAATGGACTCCAATGAAAGGATTTTAAGATGATTCTGAAAATACTATTTTTTTTCAAGTACCACACATTGTTCTGTAAGCGCGATAAACAGATGTGAGTTGTCATCCCTTAGAAATGAGACTAGAAAAGTTAATCTGATTTCACTGACATAAAAAGTGAATATGCGACAATACCTAAAATAATCATAGTGAGGCGCTCTGGTCGGCGCTATGGTGACGTGTGTGTGTGTATATATATAAAATATATATATGTATGTGTGTGTATGTGTATATATATATATATATATATACACACACACACACACAACAGCCGCACTGAGGTGCTATAATGCAATAAATATAGTGTATACAGTGTGGTACTGAAAAACTAGTGCAGTAGTGATAACAAATTGGTGACTGTAGTGGGGTGACTACACAAAAAGCAATATGAGATAAAGTCCAATAATGAATGAATCCATAAGAAATTAGTGACTTCCAGTGATAAGTGAATCCGTGAGAATGACTCCTTTATATGCACTCACCAGAAGTGCATATAAAATGCGCATGTACAGCAAAATGGCACACTTCTCCACAAGCAGTCAGGCTATGTTCTCATCAAACACAGAACCATTGAAGCTAAGATGTACCAGATTGGAGGGGTATCATCAGCACAGCAATCAATCCTCAAGGTGGAAAAAAGCAGGGATCCTGAAGAAACCAGCTCACAAAAAGAGCCCAGAAAGAAACGGCTAATAGTGTAGTACTTTATTTCAAGATTTAAAATATCCACGTGGAGTAAGCAAACAAACAGTGTAAAGCCACTCACAAAGATGGCCGCCAGACCATCATACAGCCACGGCAGCGTGACATCAGTACGCAGGCTCCTGGCTGACCCGTTTCGTGTGCACACGCGTTTTCAAAGGGATCCACCTACCTAGTACCGTGGAGTTGTGTTTAAAGGGGACATGCTGTGAGAACCTGTGATGTCATCAACACTTCCTGTAACTCCAGTAAGTATGTAAAATGGGGCTGATCTGATCAGCTATGTCTTAGCTCCCCCTACAGGTTACTAAAACAGTGATCATTGCTTGCTGATAACAATGAACAGACCTCTATTATATATGTTGCAGTAGAGGTGCATGGGGGTGCCAGATGCTCTGGATGACATTTACTTTTACTTTAGTGACAAATACATATGTAAGTGTAATGTCAATATCACAATCTCAAACCTGTGATTATATAACTATAATGCTAATTTCTGTTTCCACAATGTTTATAATATATTTATTTTTGTGCATTATAATGTGGTGTCAACAGGGAGAAAATGTGTTCAGAATTGAAATATCTGCTTTTGTGCAGCTCTTTGTACATGTCAGAGGCTGCATTTGAGGTCCCCATGTTTACTAAGTTGACCACCACTGTTCTAGAGCATTAGTTTCACTTCCTCAGTGGAATTTGTCAGATTGTCTAGGTTATTTGACAGATCTTCTAGTATGGTCAACATGGCTTTGTAGTTCATCAACACTCCCGTTCAATCTAAACCTGAAAACTCATCCCTAGTAGTAACATACCTGGTTTATGCGGTTTTCCAGATTTACAGTCGTATTAAACCCAAAACCAAAAATGTAATATATTGCAGCTTACAAATTCATAGATGTGGTGGCTGCATTAGTTCTCTCTTTTTTTTTTTTTTTTTTTTTTTTTTTTTATAGTATTAGTGTGCCCCCTCTCTGGATGAATGAGCACAGGGGACAGCAATGGACAGCAGCATTAGTCTGGGCGGAAGGTTGTGTGAGATGTATTAGCAGATTTAAATACACCAACAAATTGAAGCCAAACTCCAGCTAATATGTTACAAGCAGTTACAGCACACAGTTTTTTTTTTTCCTTTTGGGATAAAAGTTTTACAAAAATAAAAGCTGAATATTGCAAGCACCCATGTCAGTGGTAATTGGTTTCTCTCAACCCTCAAACTGCAACATCTGCAGGATAGCTTATTCTGTTGAAACAGACTTGATGGCTGGATAAACAGGTGAAAATAAAGGAAAGAAAGCCTAAAAAAGAAAACTAATGCAGCCACCACATCTAAGAATTGCTATGCTGCAATATAACAAGTGTTTGCTTTTGAGTTTAATATCCTTTAAATTACAAACCGTTTTCCATTACTTTTTCTGTCCACCTAAAAATGTTTAAGTATTTTCAAATTATGTGATGTTTAAATTTATAAAGTGAAATGATCTTTCTTATATTCTGCATTTCTGAATCTGTGGATTATAATTGTGTGTGTTATATTGAGCTAATGCATCTAGCTTCTAATGTAGAAGGTAAACTTGTACATTGCACAAGTGCATGTAAATCTTCATAAAAAACATTGTTTTTCACAGGTCCTGCAGCCGTGTGATCTTTTTTTTCCAAAGTAGCCAATCAACTGGGGATCCACAGAAGATTGAACTGTCAATAAAATCACTCATGTTAAAGGTAAGATTTTGGAAAGCATTAAACAGTTGTAAATGACAGTGTCAAATGAACATGGCCTTATTACATATGGTAGTCATGGTACAGTAGTCTGTTCACTTCTTAGATGAATAATGGTGTACGATATTCAATAAAAAGTTTAATTAGCAATTTTCTTGGTCACCTGGGCTATTGCTTTACACCTAGTAATAATTAGCAATTTTCTTGGTCACCTGGGCTATTGCTTTACACCTAGTAATAATTAGCAATTTTCTTGGTCACCTGGGCTATTGCTTTACACCTAGTAATAATTAGCAATTTTCTTGGTCACCTGGGCTATTGCTTTATACCTAGTAATAAACTCATCTGACTGTAACCACATTTCCTGGTACATAATAAACCATTCTTAGAGAAAACAGTTCTCTATAAGTGTCAGTAAGAATGGGTAAATTTTGTCTGTTCTGGTTTCTGAAATATACTTTTTACATGTATTTTTTCATGAGAAATGTTGCATCTAATTAGCTATTCATTTACATTTGCTGCAAGATTACCATGATAAATATGTATTTAGGCAGCTCATAAGCAGTAGGAAACATTTCCAAATAATGTTCTCATACATTCTTTAAACATGTCATGTTATATGTATGTTGGTATTTTTTCTTTGCATCGTTTGTGCAGATTGTTCTATTCATGCTTATCTGCAACCTAAATTTTACAGGTCTCTCCAGTCATTATAAACACAGTGATCACAATCACTTCAGCTCTTTCATCTCCAAGTAAAGAATCAATAAGTGAAGTGACTAGTCCAGTTCCAGTAGACCTATGGAGGAAGAAGAATGTGAAAGATTTAAAACTGTGGTTCCTGGAGGAAGAGAACGAGAATAACAACAAATCTGGAGAAGCAAACAAGTTAGTCCTGACAGGAGAGACCTTACATCTGAACATTGAATCAATCGTTGTCACTTTAGAAGCTGGTGTTGGCCACAGGACCTTGCCAATGCTCTTAGCCAAGTCTTCATTTAAAGGGAATGTGAAGAACTGGAGCACACTTATAAACCTTTACTGTCAACTTGAGTTAGAGGTACAGTGTTAGCAAGATTTTCATATAGAACTATTTAGGTTTATTGGAGTTTCCACAAATACACATTTTTTGGAATTTTTATATATGTGGAGAATGAATATGATGTAGGGAAAAAAGTCACCTTTCTCCTTTTGCTGTTAGTGTTGTTCTTCTGACAAGCTAAAGTATGGCTGAACTTCCAGTAATACTAGCTACCTTTTAAGCTCTATTCATTGGCATTCAAATGATCCCAACCTTCATTCCTTATCCACCAAAAGTTGATAAGGAAGTTACAGTAAATCAGTGGTTCTCAACCTTCCTAATGCCGCGACCCTTTAATACAGTTCCTCGTGTTATGGTGACCCCCCAACCATAAAATTCTTTACCCAGTAATTATATTTCATGTGTCGTTTTACCTTCAATACGGCTGCTTTCAACACAGTAGCTGCTTTCAACACAGTAGCTGCTGTCAACTCAGCAGCTCCTTTCAACACAGCAGCTGCTTTCAACACAGCAGCTGCTTTCTACACAGTAGCTGCTCTGTACACTTCGGAAATATGTGTTTTCCGATGGTCTTAGGTGACCCCTGTGAAAGGGTCGTTTGACCCCCAAAGGGGTCGCGACCCACAGGTTGAGAACCACTGCAGTAAATAGAGGAGCCTTATAAAGGCTTTGGAATGGCCAAGGCCTACAGCAACAGTTGGGAAATATCACTGGAGTTCCAATAGCTTTAAAGAGCTGGTGGGGTAAACAGGCTTACTAGTACTAAACTTGGGACACGGAAAAAAAAAAGCATGGGTGTGAAAACGCTTAATTGAACAAGCTACAGTTAGAAGCTGATTGGCTATCATGCACAGCTGCACTGGATCCTGAGTGCACCAGTTTTAGTAAATGTCCCCCTTAGGGTTCATGCACAATGGCTTAAAAAAAACGCTGCTCCTAGAGGAGTTTAGCATTTTGCCTGTAGAAGCAACTAATGTTATCCTATGTGTCCATGCACATTAGGTCGTTTAGAGCCATATTTTAAGCGCAATTTTAAGAAGCAGAAAAAAATCCTTCTGGTTTGCATTTTTGAGAAAGGTTTTGTGGCACAAAAAAAAAAACGCTAAACGCTCCTAAACACTAGTACAAAAATTGCTCACAATTATTGTTTTTTTGCTGCCAAAAGCACTGGCGTTTTTTTAAGCCAGTGTGCATAGACCCTTAAGGCATATAGCATTTTTTTAGTTTTGCAGTTTTCACCCTGTGCATTTAGACACCGCTAATTGATGACAATGTTTGTACAGTTTCTGCCTGTTTCATCATGTCACTATTAAAAACAAAAGTAGAATGTGTTGTTGGAAGCAGTATGTCTGCTCTTCAAGCACGCAGAGCACAAATGACAAGATAGGAGATAGTTTCATGTTTCCGAATACATTAAAATGATTCTATTGGCAATTTTTAAATTAAGAAACATGTCATATTTACCTACTCTGTGCGATGGTTTTGCCCATATCATCCTCTTTTTTTTTTTTTTTTTTTTTGGATTCTCTGCTGGAGCTCCTGGTTCCTCCCCCCTGCTGAGTGCCCTCCTAGCAAGTTACTTTGTATGGGGGCACTTGCGCATTCTTGCTCTTAAGCTGGCTCTGTGTGTCCATTGACACACACAGAGTTGTTTGGCCCCATCCCCCGCTCTCTCCTCACTGGTTGTTACTGACCACAGCAGAAGCCAATGGCTCCCACTGCCAGTTTTCCGTCCAGTGAGGAGAGAGAGAGCGAAGAAAGCTGCTGCTCTCATGCACATTGCTAGATCGAGATCGGGCTCAGGTAAATATGGGGGTTGGGTGAGCGCTGCATACAGAATGTTTTTGCTTTTTTTTTTTACCTTAATGCATAGAATTCATTAGGGTAAAAAAAAAAACTGTACCTTTAGAACCACTTTAAGATGCTTTTGACTCTTCTCACATCTACTCCCTTCCCCTACTTTTTATTTTACTGAATTTAGCCACAGATGTCCAGAGGTGGATACAAGAGGGAACTTAGAGGGAAAATAGGAAAATATTATCACAAGCTGTGCTTGTTTAGGCTTGGTACTGCCCTCTTTAACCCCACTGCCATAGACACTGACACTCTAGTGCCATTATGGTAAACCAGCCGTGTCTGTTAATAGCAATTTCTACTCCTGGTTACAGTACTCCCTCACCATTTTTGTCCCCTTTTTAAGCATGTGTTGAGGGTTATAAGTCCTTATGTCTTTGTCATCAGACAAGGGCACTCCTAGGCATGATGTAGATGGTGTTGCACTACAAACAATAAATGAGTAGTTCAATGGCTGTCTGCTACACCAAGTTTACTTTCCCTTTATAAAAGTTTTTTTATTCCAACATTATATCCTTGCTGTTGAAAGGATGAAATGCTGTATCATTTTTGAGTGTGTATAGAGTACCACTTTATATACAATATTGGTGCGATGCCTGGGACAGTCCATAAGCCTTAGCTTAAAAAATTTAAAATAGACCTTTCTAGAGGGATACATAGATAAATAGAATGAAGGGCTCTAATTTGCATATACTGTATAAATAATAGCCTGTAATATAGTTTAACACTGACTAAATAATTTTGAAACATATCTTTCCTATTCTGAATCCACTTGTAAAATCAGTTTTCTGTCAATATACTGTATATATGGTATTAGGCAGTGTTTTACAGTTGATTTTATTGCATTTAGGTACATTATTTTAATGAAATGCTTGGTGTTTGGGAGCCACTACTAGAACCTTTGGAATTAGAAAGAAGTGATGACTTCAGACCCTGGAGCCTTGAAGTTAAGGTATTTATGAGTTGCTCATGTCTTACCAAGTAGTTAACTGTTTATTTCACGTATAAATCATTTGTGATGTTTTTTGCTGAAAGAATAGTTTGTGCTGCCCACAGTCTCTAGTCAGATTCATACTTGGACTCCATTCATTACTATTGAAAGGTCTGAACTGATTGGTGGCCCTGGGAACTTGTAAACATGTGTTTTATTTTTTTCTACTTGTGAAAGTTTATAAGGTGCTCTTGTATATGAAACCCAGTGCCTAATAAAAAAAAACCTGGTTGATCCCTCCCTCTTTGTCCATGACCCCTGTGCAGCCTGAGATTGTGTAGACCAGCCGTTGCCACATCTACTGAGCATACTCCAGTTTCAGTTCTCTTCTAAGCTGTTCCTTTCCTGCTTTTTCTTCTTTGTGCAGCCCCTGTGACTATGGAGTCACACTTGTGGGTGTATACACAGTGATAAATGACAGTCCCCTCCCTCCCTCGTCCTCCTTCATATCCTTGTATTGCTAATCTTTATGGGGGTGAGATAAAAGATTGAAGGAGGCACTACCTCCATGTTAGTCTCACTATACACACCATAGACACGGGCTAGAGGGGCGTAACATAGCCTGTGATTGGCAAAACCTTTTCCAGATATCTTTAAAGTGTGAGCAAAGTGAAAGCTGTGGCTGCTGAACAATCATGATTAAATAAGGCACTCAGATGATTTTTTTTATAATAAATTAATTACAGTGGCATGATCTTTATACATAAATAGAAGGGATAATGGCAATGAAACATTGTATGTTTAGTATCACTTTAATCACTTGCTGACCGCCCACAGTAATTTTACTGCAGGCGGCATGTGCAGGCACAATCACATACATGTATGTGATTGTGCCTACTCTGGCTTAGGATGCAGCGTGCCTCCCCACACGACCGCTGTGTCCACTGATTTGAGTGGCCCAGGGATCATGTGATCACTATGTGATCACATGATTACAATGTCAACAAAACTGTTATGAATAGATCTCATTCATAACAGCTTTGCTTCCTATACCAGTGAGTTGTGATTGGCCCACAGGTATCACATGGAACCTGGGCCCATCACAGCACCCGGTACCATGTGATTAGCTGTAGCCAATCACTAGTAATCACAGCTGTTATGAATTTAACTCATTCATGACAGTTCAAAGCATTGCTGTTGCAATGATCCTCATTGTAACAGCAATCAAAGTGTATAAAAAAAAATCCCTGATCACCCTCTCCAGAGTAGTGCTGTGTTACTATGGTGACATTGCACTACTATGATGAAAGCATATAAAAAAAATAGTAAATAAATGTTTTAAAAAATAAACAAAAAACAAAAATGTAACAATTGAATAAAAAATTGGTGGTGATCAGGGATAGTCAGTGTCACTGATCACCACCACACCAGCCATATGAACACGCTTTGCTGCGCTGGTGGCTGCATGTAAAAAAATGTGGAAAAAAAATGTATTTAATTTCTTAACATTTAAAAAAATTGTGACAAAAAATTACAACTTCAAAAAACTTGCCATGTCTGCTACTAAATACCTCAGACTGTCTACTTTCTAAAAAGGGGTAATTTGCGGGGTATTTGTACTGTCCTGGCATTTAAAGGGCCTCAAGAAATGTGATCAGCCTTCAGTACATCAGGAATGATCAATTTTCAAATATATATACCAAAGTTTGTAGACGCTATAACTTTCACACAAACCAATTAATATACACTTACTGAATTTTTTTTTTTTTTTTTTTTGTACCAAATGTCAAGAAATGTCACCAGCACACCAAGCATTCCTCAAACAGGTCCTTAATTGTATTCCCTGCTAACATAGTGCAACCAAAGGTAATGTTTTGGCATCACACAGGGCCCCTTCGTCACTTGCCTGTTAAAACTGTGGACCTGTTTGAGGAATGCTTGGTGTGCTGGTGACATTTCCTTACACTGAGTGTCCATGGTACCCAGCCTGGGATCACTGCAGCACCTAGCAATACCAAACAACAATTTCTCAGAAACTTATGTGTTGGGAATATTGTGATTAGATTTTTTTTTTTCCAAAGTCATGTAGCAGAATACATTTTGGCCTTAATTTATAAAGAAATTAGATTTTTTTTTCAATTGGATATGTTTTATAACAGAGGAAGAAATGTGGTTTTTGTTTTGTTCAAAATGTTTAGTCTTTTTTTATATAATAAAAAACAAAAAAATGTTGATCAAATAATACCAAAAGAAAGCTCTATTTGTGTGAAAAAATTGACATCAGTTTAGCCGCTTCCCGACCGCCCTATTGCAGAAGTACTGCAGGGCAATAGGGATGCGCAGAATCACGTGTATATATACATGATTTGCATTTCTGGGTAGGGGGAGCGCGTGCGTTGTCTACCCGTGCTGGTATTGGCTTCTCGACATGTCAATCACCGGGTCCCAGCCACCAATTCTCGGCCAGGACTCGGTGATCATCGGCAGAGCTGACAGGGAAGAGGTCTGTGTATAAACAACACAGATCTCCCCTCTGTCAGCACGAACAGGCTGCTTTGTATTGCTCTGCACAATGCAAAGCAACTTGTCTACATAGTAAACACACACACAGCACACTATGTAAAAAACAACACAGCACACTGTTAACCCTTCAATCACCCCGGATGTTAACCCCTTCCTGCCTATTGTCATTCATACAGTGACAGTGCTTTTTATTAGCACTGATCACTGTATTAGTGTCACTGGGGATGTCAGTGGCAGTCAGTTCCCACCCAGTGTCAGATTGCCTGCCGCAGTCCTGCAATAAGTCACCAATCACTGCCATTACTAGTAAAAAATAAATAAATAAAAATTCCAGTATATATACCGCCATTTGTAGATGCTATAACTTTCACATAAATCAATTAATTTACATGTGTTGGGATTTATTTTAGCAAACACGTGTAGCAGAATACATTTTGGCCTAAATTTAAGAAGAAATTTATTTTTAAATTTTTTTTACTGGATGTGTTTGTTTTTTTCAAAATTTTCTGTATTTTTTTGTTTATAGAGAAAAAAAAATGCACAGGTGGTCAAATACCATTAAAAGAAAGCTCTATTTGTGTGAAAAAAAAGGACATAAATGTAATTTATGTACAACATTGCATGACCACGCAATTGGCAGTTAAACTAATGCAGCGCTGTATCACAAAAAATGGCCTGGTCAAGAAGGGGGGTAAATCCTCTAGAGGGCAAGTGGTTAATTTGTGTACAATGTTGCATGACCCCGCAATTGCCAGTTAAAGTAGTGCAGTGCTGAATAGCAAAAAAAATGGCTCGGACATGAAGGGGGTAAAACCATCCGGAGCTCTAGTGGTTAAATCGATAATCTCCACAGAACTGAAATTATATAGCTTTACTAGCTTTATAAACTCTTTTTACAGATGTGCATCACTTGTTCCTATCGCTTAGACACCCTGTGTATCAGGGTTATTCAAAGGTGGATGCCAGGCTTATCTCAATAAGGAAAGCCAGCACTGTGATGTGGCAATACAGGAAGATGGGGAGACAACTGGAGACACCTCAGGGACAGTGTAGCCCAAAAAATGGGATCACCTACACCTTTTGAGAAGGAAACTATTTATTCTGATATTATAGGGACATCCTTTTGAATAAGGATATACTTAGCTGAAGATCTAGACTTTACTACTAACCTATACATGGGGGCTTTTCTTATAATTGCTGAAATTTTCAAAAATATTTTGTATTTTTGCATATCTGAGGTTGGTACCCTAAGCTAATCTCATATAAACAAAAGGGTTAAGTTTGTTTGTATCCTTTGAGATAGATTTTAACTAATGTCCTGTCCATGTAATTGGTTTAAAAAAATCGGAGGAAAGGAAATTTTCTCTATGGGGAGGAGGTTGTTACCTTTATGTTTGTCAAAATTTAAAATATTTGCTCGAGTTAAGCATTTGACATTTAAAAGAACTCCAGGTTTTTTCGGCACTTTTAGTAACATGTTTGGGCCAGCTTGGACCAAACAAATTATTTTCATATACAGCAATGTGTTTCACCAGCAATATGATCTTTACCTCTACTTCTACAGAGGGAGTCAGTTGTATCTCATCTCAGCCGTTTAGAAGAATCCTTGTATGTTTATCAAAAATAAAAGGCTTTCTAAGGTTGGTCGAAATTGAGAGGTGGCCAGTCAGAGGAAACCTTATATACAGTACATTGATAAAAATACAAGGCTTCTAAATGGCGGAGATGCAATACATACTGTACATCTGGGAGTAGAGGAGATGTCCATTGTACTGCTACTGGAACACAGCACTGTTTTATGGAGCACAAGTTACTACAGTATATTACAGCCTAGTAGTAAAGGATGTTTAGTGAGCGCTACCTTAAAACAAAAGTAAAAGTGTGTATAAATATGTATACACAACTAAGTTAACAAGCAGCTGATACACCGAAAAGGTAACCAAAAGAAAACCTCCAATAATACATGTATATCCAGATAAGATGGTGCAGCGCTAAATAATAGTGCACGATTAATACACACAATATGCTAGTGCAAACTTGTGCGAATGTCACTCAGATGGTGATCAATAAATATTTAAAAAGTTCAATAAGATGGTGCGGATCATAGAGAGATCCTAATTCCAGGTGTGTGGACGTCCTGATCCAAGGTGTGATAATTGGTGCAAACCACACAAATAGGTAAAAAACGCATTCACCAGATGTGCGTTTAAAATACGCAATATATAATCCTGCGTCACCAGGCCATAGATCGGTCATCAAATCTCGGATCGGGTTACCCACAGATCACCATCCAGGTTCCACAGAGGCAAGGTCACCAGAAACTGCTACCAGGTATCACCACCAGGGTCATGATTCCTCCAGATGGGCACTGCGAATGATAGCACTCACACAGAGTGCCCAATGAGAGACCACATAGCGTGATACTGCTTAAGGAACCTTTATTCAGGGTTGGTTGGTGTGGGGTACATAAAAAGATTTTCAAAAGAAGTTACTGACCGTACATTCCAGGGTGTCCACCTGCGGTGGTTAGATGTCCTGTTGCTGCTGCCCCGCTGACGCGTTTCGTGCGATGCACGTATTCATAGGGATAAGGGCTTGCCAGCAGGACATCCACTTAGGTGCTATTTACATTTGTAAATGACAATCCTGCTTAATGCGCCCGCCATTTTGTCGGCTACCGACGCATGCACAGATCGTCGGCGCCATCTTACCGGACCACGGAGCATGCGCGAGTGATCGGCGCCATTTTGTCGTGGATCGCGGTTGCGATCTATAATCTACAGAGAGTCACCAATAGTGCGGCGCCATCTTCTTGGCAGTATTAGGGGATGGTGAAGCACAACTTAATTAATCATTCCAAGCTGTGCAGCCAAAACATCCTATGGCGTATTGGGAGCCAAAAATCAAAAAGGGGGGAACAAGTCTCCCCTGCAAACCATGATAGAAACTTCATCGTTCATCAACTATTTAGATCGAAATCTATATTCAATCCTCTGGGGTATAAAGAGCCTAATTCGTAGATCCACCTCGATTCGAGCTGTGACACTGCTCGCTTTCTATTTGTTCCTCTCCAGTGGGTATTTACAATGCCTATGCCCATAAATCTAAGTGACGAGGGATCTTTATTATGATGGATCTTGTAATGATGTGACAAGGAGTGATCCTTATACCCCTTTTTAATATTATTGACATGCTCCTTTAGTCTGTCTCTAAGGCGTCTGGTAATGCGGCCAACATATTGAAGGCTGCACGGACATTGGAGCAAGTACACTACGAATCTACTTGTGCAAGTTATAAAATCATCAATGTGATAACGTTTGCCCCTTGTTGTAGATGTGAAATGATTACTTTTATCAGTATGTTTGCTGCATCGGCAAATGACGCATTTTTTACAGGGATGAAACCCTTTTAAGCTGGAAAACATAGTTATACTTTTGGGTGGATCCACTATATTAGGGGCGATTCTATTTTTAAGTGGTGTCGCTTTTCTGAAAATAATTTCCAGTTTCTCCGGCAATAATGTATTCAGTATAGGATCGGATTTCAAAATCTTCCAGTTTTTATTAATGATGCTAGTGCGAGGTGGATCTACGAATTAGGCACTTTATACCCCAGAGGATTGAATATAGATTTCGATCTAAATTGTTTTTTGGACAACAGATAGTATAAGGAGGACGTATTCTAATGTTTGTTGTTCTCTGTGTCATACATGTTCTTTTAGTATATTCTTTTATTCAAGTTTTATAAGAACAATCACCAATTATTATGAATAAAATCACATATATGACATCACCGTATATATTAAGCGACTTTTGGCGTTAATATATACTCCTCGTCATCGCTCTTATCGCTTTTTATTGTGCTTTATTGTTAGTGACCGTTTTAGCATTCTGCATCATATTATTTTATCATGTGTTTTTTATTCGTTTTCATGATTTTGTAATTTTATATTTCTACCTGACATTTTAGGTCCTGACCATATATTCCATATATATTTATATACATTGCTTGTAAATTCAAATTTTATGTATATTTTGTATGTTTTATCTGACCATATACTTTGAGTGCTATTTATATTTACATTTTTATTGGGAACCATTCAGCTATATATTCATTATATACAATGCTAAACATGATCCTATCCTGTTTTGAATTTATATATAACAGGATAGGCTTCGCATATTAGTATATGATCACAAATTAATGATAATCAACTCCCATGTCTTTTAAATTTATAAATAATTTTTATGTGTACCAGATGAAGTTTCTATCATGGTTTGCAGGGGAGACTTGTTCCCCCCTTTTTGATTTTTGGCTCCCAATACGCCATAGGATGTTTTGGCTGCACAGCTTGGAATGATTAATTAAGTTGTGCTTCACCATCCCCTAATACTGCCAAGAAGATGGCGCCGCACTATTGGTGACTCTCTGTAGATTATAGATCGCAACCACGATCCACGACAAAATGGCGCCGATCACTCGCGCATGCGCCGTGGTCCGGTAAAATGGCGCCGACGATCTGCGTATGCGCCGGTAGCCGACAAATGGCGGGCGCATTAAGCAGGATTGTCATTTACAAATATAAAATAGCACCTAAGTGGATGTCCTGCTGGCAAGCCCTTATCCCTATGAATACGTGCATCGCACGAAACGCGTCGGGGGCAGCAACAACAGGACATCTAACCACCGCAGGTGGACACCCTGGAATGTATGGTCAGTAACTTCTTTTGAAAATCTTTTTATGTACCCCACACCAACCAACCCTGAATAAAGGTTCCTTAAGCAGTATCACGCTATGTGGTCTCTCATTGGGCACTCTGTGTGAGTGCTATCATTCGCAGTGCCCATCTGGAGGAATCATGACCCTGGTGGTGATACCTGGTAGCAGTTTCTGGTGACCTTGCCTCTGTGGAACCTGGATGGTGATCTGTGGGTAACCCGATCTGAGATTTGATGACCGATCTATGGCCTGGTGACGCAGGATTATATATTGCGTATTTTAAACGCACATCTGGTGAGTGCGTTTTTCACCTATTTGTGTGGTTTGCACCAATTATCACACCTTGGATCAGGACGTCCACTCACCTGGAATTAAGATCTCTCTATGATCCGCACCATCTTATTGAACTTTTTAAATATTTATTGATCACCATCTGAGTGACATCACGCATTCGCATAAGTTTGCACTAGCATATTGTGTGTATTAATCGTGCACTATTATTTAGCGCTGCACCATCTTACTCTGGATATTACAGCCTAGGCAGCAGCCAGCCTGTTCTATCATGCAAATAGTTTGTTTGGTCCAAGCTGCCCCAGCTGAATTATGTAAAGTGCCAGGAAACCTTGAATTCTCTTTTACTAAAATGCAATTTGAAGTGACTTTCATAGGTTTAATTAACCACTTGTCTACCATGGTACATTTATAAACGCCATGGTAGACAAGTGGTTAAATCAAGCTCACAACTGCTAATGCAGCTGTGAGCTTAATACTTTTAGGAGCCAGAAAAGAAATTTCCAATAAAAGTGATCTGTCGGCTCTAGAGCTGCCTGATCATTTTTACGGGGTTCTCAATAAGGTACCCCCCCATCCCCCTGCTTGGCAGCGTCTGTTGTAGTTTCCATGCTCTCCTGTTCTGTCATGGATTACTGCTTCCCTAGTGTAAGCAGAAGAAACTCAGGGAACATTGTTCCCCCATCTCTCCTGCAACTAATGGCCTCAAAAGTGATGTACTAAGGCTTTTCCCGGGGTCACAGACTCAGGATGCAGTTATTCCAGCACAATATGTGCTAGAATAATTGCATTGGAGAGCCCCCAATATTGCCATAAAGAGGACCTGTTTCCTGCCCATGCTGGTTAGCCTGCCTTGCAATGGCAATAAAGAAAAAATCAAGTGTGAAAAAAAAAGAATCATATAAAAATTATTTTACAAAAATGTAAAGCACCCGTCACCCCCGCACCCACTCCATATAAACACAGCATATGGCGAGCACATGTATGTAACATCAGTTGCAACACACCACGTGCGGTATTATCATAATAAACGTGGGAGTGAGAGCAATAATTCTAGGGCTATAGTTCATGGTTATCTCTAAACTGATGAACTGTAAATGCTTTTAAAGTGTCACATATGGAGAATTTGAGGTACCATGGTTTTTATGATGATACCCAAAAACTGAGTATGATGTCTGTTTGCACTAAAATTCATTGTAGTGTAATGTTTCTGAAAAATATGCGTTTGATAAAAAACCACGCAAATATCATGCAACATAAAAAATTGCAACTACCACTGTTTTATTCTCCAGGGTCTGCTTTCAGAAAATCTATACTTTTTTGGGAGTTTTTACAGTAATTTGTAATAAAAATACAAATGTAACTTATGTGCAAAAAAGTGAAAAAAAAATTGCCTCAGTAGACAAGTGGTTAATCTCCTTTGCTAACCAGATTTATTCCCCTCTGAATTTAAAGGTATTAAACCCAAAACAAAAATGTAATATATTACAGCTTACCAATCTGTTTTCACCTGGAGATCTGACCAGTAACACACTCCTGTATTAGAATGCCCCCACTCTGGATGAAGGAGCACAGGGGAAACACCTTTGGACAGCAGCATTGTCAGTCTGGGGGAAGAGACGTGTTAGACTTACTAGCAGATTTAAATACACTAATAAAGTGAAACCAAACTCCAGCTAATACTGTATAAGCAGTTATAGCAAACAACGCTTTTTTCTTTTGAGATAAAGGTTTACATAAATAAAGGTGATCATTGTAAGCATCCCTGCTAGTGTTAAATGAAATATCTCATCTCTGTAACTCATACATTCTGCTGGTAGGTTTGTTCTTTTGAAAAACAACAGACTTACTAGACTGGATCACCAGGTAAAAATAGAAGAAAAAAAATCCTAAAAACTAAACTGAATGCGGCCATCACATCTAAGAAATGGGAAGATGCAATATAATAAATGTTTGCTTTTGGGATTAATACTGCTTTAAATACTATATAACATTATTCCTTTTTTGTGGTTCTGTATAGTGTATGCAGGACAATGTAGTTTATAGTAATAGAAAACTACAGTAAAACAGGTGTCTTACATTCTAGATGAAAAAGAAGTTAAGGAAACAGGTTTGTGAAACAGATGGGGATGAGGAAAATTACAAGATACCAGAATATGTTACAGCAATCAACATTTTTTCCAAAGACCAGAGAATATTACACTCTCTAAATGTGGTATAGTAATGCTTGGCAACCTGGGACAGGTAAGATTTGAGTACATTTTAGGAAAAGTATTTTAATGGCACTTGTGTACTGTGTGTTTCACAGGTGGAGTGGGATTATGATCTGTATAAAAAAATATTGTTATCCTCTGTCTACTTATTCCCTTTGATTAGTTGCGAGAGTGCTCTATTTAGAGGTCTTCCAGTAGTTGTGTGATGTTGGGCCTTGCTTTGGGTACTCATCTAAGTGTTATTAGGCAAGGACTACAAAACTTATATCCATAAAGTTTTGTGTTCGAAACAATCCTCAGTGCTAGCTGTTGCAAAAACGTGCATCCCAATGGACGCGGTGCAACCATTTTGGTTTCAACCTCCATCTTTAGCGAAGGGACTAACCATCTTGAAATATATATTTTCTCTTATCCTCCCCCCTTTCCTCTCTGTTCAGCCACAGCGACATCTGGTTGTGGGTCACTAGCAGGCTAGAGCAGCAGGGGGCCCGGGAGCTACAAAGCCCCCCAAGAGGACAGAGCCACTCTGCCCAAGAACCTGTGAAATCTCTCACCTCGTAACAGAGATAAGGCGGCTTTCCTAGGAATTGAAAGAGGTTTTAACCTCATAAAAAACATAGTAGCGGAGGTGACAGAATTAAATGAACATTCCTCAAATCAATTTTTATCCTATGTCTCATATCTTGGAAATGAGAGACATACATAAAAAACCAGACATATCATGTGAGCAGGCGAATCGTTTAGTAGTAACTCCACTCGTTTCGCATGCTCAGGGAAGCAGAAAACATAGATCTCGTGAACCGTGCAGCATATAATTTCATAATTCATATCTAAATAATCCTCAGACTTGTCTGTGTAATAATATACCGCGAGGGGACTATCGCTCGTGCAGCTGAGGAGTTATAGACCAGAATATGAATTATGAAAGATGTTGGTTCTAATTTAGGGTTCTGCCCGACGATCCCTCCTAAACAGAGTATTGGTCAGTTACTCAGAGCCAACAGGCTAGCAGGCCTAAGTAAATTAAGTTAAAGACATCTCCCATTTTAACATCAATACCACTGAGAGAGACCCTTTTCGCTCTGCAACTTGGATCTGCTTACATCAAAGGCTTAAATGGCAAGTAACTTAACCCTTTAACTTCTTCCTGTTATATCTTTGCTGTGCTATGGTTCTTTGTGTGTATACATATATATTTTTAGTTACACCTTTTTTCTCTTAAATATTTTTATTGCACCCTGTTTGACCCTTTTAGTAATAAATCTTTTCTTACTGAAAGTGTTGAACTGTTTCTATAGCTTTTAATTGCAATTTACGAATCCCTGCCTTTTAAGAGAACGCTACTGTTTGTTTTAACCTCTGTATAACCGGCCTGCGGATCCCGTTTTTATACAGACAATTATTTCAATCATTATAGTTTTATACTGATGACGCGAGTTTCCTCCTTCTCTGTACAAAAGGAGGTGGTGGCAGTGAAGGGTTAGTTGCGTAATTAACCTGACCCCCCCCCCCAGTAACAATCGCTCAGGTTGATGGCACACTGATCTGTTGTCCATTAGCTGGACAACAGATCAGTTGTGCAGGGCGCAGCTGAGCGCGCAGGGTGCAGCTGAGTGTGGTGTTGTTACGCACGTCACATCGAGGTTTTGGATCGGCCAGCCCTTCGGTCACGAGTTTTGGTGAGAAGGTCTGGGGTCTGGCGCCGCCATCGTGACACTAGCCCTTGGTGCTAGTTAGTAGTTCACTAGGCCCTACAATGGCAATGGGACGGCTGCAGACCATTGGACAGTAAGCGGAAGTTGTTTTATTCAGTTATAAATCACTTTCAGATTCCTGGAATGCTTGAAACATTACTGAACCAAAAGAGAACAGATGAGGCATGTCCTGGAGGTGCAGGCGATCAGGGATATGCAGCACACTGCAGATTACTCCAAGAAGATGGCTGTTTCACTGTAATCTGAAGATTCAATGAGGTTCAGCTGCTCACCCAGTAATCTGCAGAGCTGTACTGTCAGATTGACAGTTAGGCTACGTTCACACTAGCCTTGTGTGCAGGCGGCAGAGAGGCGTTTGGGAAGCGTTTTTAACCGCTTCCCAAACGCCTCTGCCAATTCTGCACATTACAGCACATGGTGCTGTTCTAACAGGAGCGTTTGCGTCGCGTCGCGTTGCGTCGCGGCAAAACGGACGCCTCTGGTCGAGTCAGGAGGCTTTGAAGCCTCCACTATTCTCGTCAATGGTGCCGCTCCGCAAACGCCCGGCCGGCGGTGTTGCGACGCGGTTGCGGGGTGTTTGCATTATATGCATTATAGGCGTTTTGGGGCTTATTAACGCTCGGCAAAACGCCTAGCAACCGCCGCTAAACCGCGCAATGCGGTGTTTGCGGAGCGTTTGCCGAGCGTTAAAAAACGCTCCGCAAACACCGGACCAATGTCCCTCCATCCCTGTTCCATGCCACCGAGGACTGTGCTGAAGCAGAGCAGGGGGTGTTCTCACCCCAGCTGAAATCCTCCCATCACAGACCTCCAAGGCCGTGGCTTCGTCTTCAGCTCTGCTTTGGGTGGAGGAGAATGGAGATTGAGAAAGCATCACTGCATGGGGTGGGGGAGAGAGAGAGAGAGAGCCCTGGTGAGCAATGAGTGTGCTGGAGTGCATTCATTGAGGAAGATGAATGCATTTCTCTGAGAGTGGCTGATAAGAGTCTTGTGGACTAGATATTTTGCCAGAATCATTTATATCTCATTACTTTTCAGGCCTGAAAGCAGAATATGTGTATATATGTGAAAAATGAAAGTGGCACTTAAAGGAGAAGTAAATTCAAAGCTGTGTTGGCTGTACTTCTCCTGTGGATCACAGGAGTGCAGTTTTCAACTGACAGTGGACGGAAGCCCGCTGTTGGCTAACATCGCTCAGTTGGCCCAAGCTAGGGAAAGATCTCGACTTTAAAGTCGGGATCCACCCCAGAGTCTGGACCCTGAGCCAGCTGCTCCCTTCACCTTCACAGCCCAGCGCTCCAGTGAGCACGCGCGGGGGTTGCCGAATAGACCGCTCTCAGAGCGGCTGTAAGAACTCAGCAATCAGAGGTCATGTGTCATGTTCTCACACTTAGAGCCGCTGGGGGTAAGTATAATTTGGGGGAAAATAAAACCCATACTTCTCTTTTAAGCTTTATTACAATATATGATAAATTTTAAAGCAAGGCTTACTTTTCCTTTTTTCTTTCCACATTTTACTGCAACTGCACTAGTGCCGCTCCTTAAAATTAACCAGTACTGTAATTACAAATTAGGCATTGGTATAGAATTTCTCTGTTAAAATGAGAGAGGATTCTGTGACACATCTCCCATGTGTTCAGGTAGAACCATGAGATGACTATATGTATTCATGTCAGGTAAAAGCTCAGTGATGTTCTTATTATTTTATGCTTCATAGGCATTTGCTGAAGCTGCCAGCAAAACATCTGATGTCTTTAAGAAAGACCAGGCTCCCTTTGTAGTCAAAAACTCCCTGGGTCTTCCAATTTGTGTTACTCCCAGTGATTCATTTGCTGCTTTGAATGTTGAGCATGGATTAAAGAGTCTAGAATTGGAAAACGAGGAGTGTCTTAACTTGGATTATGTGCGTACAAAGAGCCAGACTGATCAGTTCTCTGCCATGACAAGCCTTAGCAGCAAACATTTCTACATCCAACTCGGTAAGCTAGATATTGAAATGCTTGCAAGGTATGTGTATAAAAAGGAATTTACTAAGACTGGAACAGACCGATTGTAGAGCAGATCTACATGGCAGCCAATCAACTTCTAGCATCCACTTTCAAAGCTCAAAATAGAACTACAGGCATAACTTATTTTATTGTGGGTAGAGAAGGGGAGGATTATAAACTATCAGTTTCTTTTTTTTTGCCATCACATTGGATGTGCCCCATTGGAGTAATTTCTCTTTACTTCCTGCACCATAGCCAAAACAGGAAGTGAGAGGAAACCCCTCCAAAGTGGGGGAATCCCCAGTTGTCACCAGAACAAGTGTTCTTATTGAAAGATCTCCCCACTATTCCTGTTCTGGGGACAACCTAAAATTTGTTATTTTCTTTTACTTTCACTTTTGGTAATGATCGCAAACAGGACAAATAGGGAGGGTAAAACTCCCTAATGGAGGCAGGAAATCAATAATTAACTGATTGTAAGCTCCAAGGAGCAGGGCCCTCCTAACCCTCTTGTATTGAACTGTGTTGTCTCCCGTTATATTGTAAAGCTCTGAGCAAACTGTTGGCGCCATATAAATCCTGTATAATAATAATAACTGATAGCTATTTGAATCCCTCTTCACTCTATCCAAAGCCAAAAAAAAAAAAAAATCCCCTTGGGTATACTTTAACTGAGCAACCTGTAGCTAGAAGATGATTGGTTACTATTCACAGCTACTGCTGATTTGTTCTGCTTCAGTTGCAACAAATTCCTCCATACGGGCTCCATCTGGAGCACTCAGAATCTGTTGCAGCTGTACAATAGTAGCCAATCAGCTTGTAACTTCAGCTTGTTCAGTTGAACTTTGACAATACAACCTGGAAGCTGATTGGTTTCTATGCAGAAAGTTTTAGTAAATCTCTGTCTATAATGTGTGTAATAAAGTATTTGTCTTCTGTGTTAGTTCCTCAGAATCATTCTTCTACTGAGAAAATTCCCTTAACTAAAGTGGGTCGAAGTCTTTACAGTGTGAGACATTCGGATTCTGGGGTGGAGCGATATATTGTTTGCCAGATTGATACCGTTGAAGGAGCCAAATGCATAACAATAAGGTCCCCATTGCAGGTGTGTATTGTGCACTTATTAATATAATATATTTAAAAAATACTAACACCTATATTAGATTGTTTTAAATATTATCTTAAAATATAAAAAAACGATGTATAGAACTTTGTTAGAGGATTTTTTTTTACAAAGCAAACCTCTAACTCAAATCAGCTTTACCTTAATTTGTTTGCTGCAACTAGTTTTGAGGCAAGGACTTCAGGAATTTTCCTAGGTTAACTGCTCCAGAACTAGTATGCAGAGTCAGGAAGTTGTTTCCACCAGTCTTAACACACTGTTGCTTTTTTATTTTACTGCATGGCATGGCTTCTTTAAAGTAGTTGTAAACGCTAAAATATATTTTTTAAATAACATATTATACTTAATTGTTCTGTGCAGGCATGTTGCACATAGCCCCAAACCTCCTCTTCTGGGGTCCCCTGCTGGCACTCTTGTCTCCTGCTTTTCTCCATGCGCCACCATTGAAAGCTGCTTATCAAGACACAGCCCTGCCCTCCGCTCTCTGTTTACAGATTTGATTGACTCAATCATTGGCTCTTCCTGCTGCCTCTCTGTCCTGTAGATGCAGGCAGAGAGGAAAGTATGCATACAGGCACAGTGCAGGATCCAGTAAGGTGTCAGGTAAGTATTTGGGAGGGGGAGCATACAAATATTGATATTTTTTTTTTTTTAGTATGTGAATGGTCACATCCCAGAAAAGTGCTCCTTAACCATTTTTTATAGTTGTTTCTAAGTGGGGAAAAAAAAATCAGTATTTATAAGACCCCATTCACACCTGAGCGTTTTGTAGGTCAAAGCTACAAAATGCTCAACATCCAAAATATCATGGTTTTCAGTTGTGCCTGTTCCTACCTGAGCATAATGTTCCTTGAAATTTGTAGTTCAAAACTGGACGTCAGCTTCTTTGGAACTACAAGCGTGAAGCATTTTTGGCCCAAATAGACTTCAGTGTAAGTGTTTGCAAAATAAACAAAGATGTGCAACATCGCATGACGTTGCACATCTTTTCTGTAGTAACTAGCTTTCCATTAGCTAAAAATTGTTAAAACGAACAAAAAAAAAAATCTCAGACACCTGTACATATATAATTAAACAAATAAAAGCTTGTAAAGTGACCAAAGATGCTGAGCTCATGTGTGAATGTAACCAAAATGTAATGGTTGTCAATTTTAAATTCTGAAGTACATACACATCTTTCCCCGCAGTGCAGTCTTGAACTATTCAGTTTACTTATATTTTTGTCTTTTTGACTTTGTAGATTAGAAACCATTTTTCTATTGCATTTCAAGTTTTTCATGAAGATACATGTCTTGGGATTGCTGGATCAGAAGACGATTTTAACATCCCTTTGTCGTCTTATAGGTACCCCTAAATAAGAATTTTTACATTTATTCTTAACTGTTTATTCATTTGAATAATGCTTTGCTGTACCTTGGCACCTTTGACTTTTGTGACCATGTCTTGACTAGGCACCATGTACTGTAGCTGTTAGTCTTCATTGTCAGATGAGACGTTTGGGCAAACCTTTTGAACAATTACCTCCATTTGGCTGTTTATGTTGTCAAAAATTGCCATATGCGGTCTGAAAACTCATAAGTCTGCATCTCATTTTGTGTTTATTTTGGTCATATATCTGCGTGGCCAAATGGAACACAGCAGCAAAGCACATAGCAACAAATCAGATTCTTTTCACGTTTTCAGTTGAGTGTGTGAAGGTGAAAGGGAGAATTTAGGTTAAACCTGGCCACCCAGAGAGCAGAGTGGGCTCTGTTCATGTCTGCTCTGCATAAACTGAGTAGACAAGGACAAGTCATCCATCTACTCTCCTCCAATTAGCAGGAGATCACTGGACAGATCCCCTGCTGATCAAAACAAAGTCCACCCCTTGTAAAAGGGGCCCTAAATGTTTTGACCACTTTGTATTATGAGAATTAATACACCGTTTTATGTCATTTGTTAAAGTATATCAAATGTATCTGTTTTCATTGTTTTAATTCTCTAATGTAGGGGTAGGCAACCTTTTGAACATGGTGTGCTGAAAAATGTTTTAGAAGAAATTGATAGCGCCAGTTATATTAAATAAACATTTTACACACTTTACACACTCAATCTCGAAAAGCAATTTTTTTTACAGTAAATGCTGTAAAGTATTTGAATAATAGTAAGAAAAACATTGAACTTTCAAGGATGGAAATGGTAACTTGCCCTTATCCAGAATACATGTACAGAACAATTCCTGCACTTCCAGACCTCAGATCAGCTCCAATTCCTGCATCTCCAGGCCTCAGATCACCCCAAATCCTGCACTTTCACACCTCAGATCACCTTAATTCCTGCACCTTCACATCTTGGCTCACACCAATGCTTGTACCTTCCCCTCAGATCACCCCAATACCTGCACCTTCACACCTCAGATCACCCCAATACCTGCACCTTCACACCTCAGATCACCCCAATACCTGCACTTTAACACCCCAGATCAGCCCAGATTCCTGTACTCACGCCTCTGATTAGCCCATTTCCTACACCTTCACAACTCTGATCACCCCCAAATCCTGCACTTTCATACTTCAGATCACCCCAATTCCTGCACCTGCAGACATCAGATAAGCTCCAATTCCTCCAGGCCTCAGATCAGTCTTAATTCCTGCACATTCACACATCAGATCACCCCAATTCCTGCACCTTCATATCTCAGCTCACACCGATGCCTGAACCTTTATCTGTCAGATCACCCCATCTCCTGCACCTTTACCCTCAGATCACCCCTATACCTGCACTTTCACAACCCAGATCAGTCCTGATTCCTGTACTTTCACACCTCCGATCACCCCAATTACTGTACTTTCACACCTTAGATCACCACAAATTCGTGCACCTTCACATCTCAGCTCACACAAATGCCTGCACCTTCACCCATCAGATCACCCCAATCCCTGCACCTTTACACCCCAGATCACCCCAGTTCCTGTACTTTCACACATCAGATCAGCTTCAATTCCTGATTGGCCCCAAATCCTGCACCTTCACACCTTAGATCAGTCCCAATTCTTGCACCTCCAGGCCACAGATCAACCCCAGTTCCTGCACCTCCAGGCCACAGATCAGCCCCAATTTCTGCTCCTTCACCCCTCAGCTCACCCCAATTTCTGCTCCTTCACACCTCTTCTCATCCCAATTACTGCACTTTCACATCCCAGCCCCCCAGTGACAATTCCTATGCCTTCAGGCCTTAGATAAGCTACAATTTCTGAACCCCCAGAACTCTTATCACAATTTCTGCACCTTCAAACCTAAGATCACTCCAGTTCTTGCACCTCCAAGCCTCAGATCAGCCCCAATTTGTGCACCTTTACACCTCAGATCACCCCAATTCCTGCACCTTTACACCTCAGATCACCCCAATTCCTGCACCTTCACACCTCCGATCAACCCAATTCCTGCACTTCACACCTCAGATCAGTCTCAATATCTGCACCATCACACCTCAGGTTACCCCGATTCATGCACCTCCAGACCTCAGTTCACCCCAATTTCTGCATTTTTACAACACAGATCAGCTCCAATTTCTGTATTTTCACACACCAGATCAGCTTCAATTTCTGATTGGCCCCAAATCCTACACCTCCAGGCCTCAAATCAGCCCCAATTCCTGCACCTTCACTCCTCAGATCACCCCAATTCCTGCACATCCAGACCTCGGATCACCCCAATCCCTACACCTTTACACCTCAGATCAGTCCCAATTCCTGCACCTCCAGGCATCAGATCAGCCCAAATTTCTGAACCTTCACACCCCACTCTCCAACAACAATTCCTTCACCTCCAGGTTTCAGATAAGCCCCAATTCTTTAACCCACAGAACTCTGTTCACAATTCCTGCACCTCCAGACTTCAGATCACCCCAATTCCTGAATTTTTACAACCCAGATCAGCCCCAATACCTGTTCCTTCAGGTCTCAGATTAGTCCCAATTCCTGCATTTTTTCACCTTAGATCACGCAAATACCTGCACCTTTACACCTCTGATCTCCTTTATATCTCCAGCTTCTGCACCCTAACAGCTCATATCACCCCAATTACTGCACCTTCACACTTCAGTTCACCACAAATCCTGCACTTTTACACCTCAGATCACTTTCATTCCTTCACTTTCACACTTCTGATCACCTAATTAATGCAGTTTCATACATCAGCCCACCTCAATTCCTGCACGTTACTTTTAAAAGATTGCTGTGGGAGGGGGTTGTTAGCCATTTGAAGATAAACCTCTCTGGCTATATCACCTCCAAGCTGAGCCTGGCGCATGGATGCTGAGGTAGAGAAATGTTCGGAGGGAGGGCATGTACACAGGTAGTAAAAGCCTGGCCATGGGCTAAGGCTAAAAGTGTGCTGTACCACAGAGGAGGAAAAATACTGAATATAGGTGTCCGTTTATGACACAGAGAATAGCTGCGATTCAGAGGATCGCAGCTATTCTCTGGTCATTCACTGTTTATGACACTCAGGAGATCAGCGGAGAACAGATTTAGCCCTTCACTGGAGATCTGTGTTCTCCCTCCACATTCTCCAGCCCAGAGCTGGAGAATCGGAGGAACCACAAACTAAGCAGCGATAATTTACCTCTGTTTAGTAAACTGATCTTTTACTGTAATCTCGCGAGATTATAGTAAAAGCAGCCATTTTCCAGCGTTCGTAGACCGTTCTCCCTTCGTTTGGAGAACTGATTTACACTGCTTCATAAAAGGCATTCACAGGAGAACTGTGTTCTCCGAGAATTCCGGGGAACTGAGCAGCGATCATTTACCACTGGTTCATAAACGGACACCATAATTACTCTTCAAAGTGAGAACAAGCAGCCTGGGAAATCTGACTTGACACAGTTTCAGTGTGGAGAGAGCAATGCAGGAACTGACACCAGCGAGAATAGAGGTGGGCACCAGCCATGCTGCTTCTTCCATATGGAGCTGCTGGCCAGCTTTATTGTTTGGGAAGTGGGACTCCGAGGACTCCCCCTTGGGGTGCCATCCCTGATGCTGTTGCATGCCACCTTTGGCACTAGTGTCGGGGGGTTTGCCTACCCCTGATCTAATATTTGCCTGTTTAATTAGGTTGACACATGACTGTAGATACTGTAGATACATTTTAAGCCAAAAAATAGTAAAGGATTTCCATCCCTTTTAAGTGATTAGTATCCTTTTACAGGTTAAATAATTGATGGGACAGTCGCTTACTACACTCTCAGCACTTATGCTGGAACTAAATAAATTTGGCCAGCTGTCCGGTTTTCAGATTAATTATAAAAAATCTGAGATTTTACCACTTAATGTGCCAGAGAACTTAGCAATCCGTTTACAAAGTGCCTTTCCTTTTATTTGGCTTTCAGAGTCATTACCCTACTTGGGGATCTATATTGCGGCAGACTATAGCAGCTTGTACACTATGAATTATGGGACTCTGCTGGACAGGGTGAATTCCGAGCATTGCTGGGGTTATCTTTAACTTGGTTTGGTTGTATTAATGTCATTAAGATGACGATCCTTCCTGGGATCATCTACCTATTACATACCGTCCTAATTATTCTCCCACAGACCTTTATTCGCTGACTGCGGAGGCTCTTTACTATTTTTGTGTGGCATAGTAAGCACCCCAGATTAGCCTACACTTTGTTATGTAGGGCGAAGATGGATGGTGGGATGGGCCTCTCTGATGTTGCCATATATTATAAAGCTATGGCTTTGGTTCGTATACTAAACTAGTGCCATAATGCTACAGATAAGCTCTGGGTATCTTTAGAAAAATCAATGGCAGGCATTAACTTGACAGGTGCCCCTTGGATACCTGCCTCCTGTCAAGGGCTCTTTGACAGGACCTCGCCATTTACAATTGTGACATTAAAGGTCTGGGATGGGTTGAGGGCTAGTGGGGTGATAACCTCAGATGTTTCACCCTTAACTCCCTTGGGGGGTTTCCCCTGGTTTACACCAAGAGAAAATGTGCACTTTTTACATACATGGGGGGGGGGGGGGGGGGCAGACGGAGATATTACTTGTGCTAAGTTGGCCCCCACTGGCTCTCTACTGGATATCCTAATAAGTAATTACAGCTCATCCCATTATTGGAGACACAGGCAGCTCTCGGACTTTCTTGTAAAGACTTTTCCTAAATTGAGAGCTAGTTCTACTCTTACTGCCTTTGAATCACTTTGTTCCTTACTCCCAGAGTCAGGTCATCTTTTGTCCTGAATGTATACACTGCTCCTGAGTTCCTCTGTCACTCACCCTCCCTATTTTATTAAAGAATAGGAGTGTGGTATAAGACTACGGCACGCCTCACACAAATTTTCCCTGCAAGATGCTGGCTGGATGCTTTTCTGCAAATCTGGTGGTCACGCCCCAAGATTCAGATGTTTTTGGAATCTGTACTCCCTCTTATTCAGAAAACCACACTCCAACCAATTAGGCTTAAGCCCCTCCATCCTCTCTTCCATGATACTCCCTCTCTTCCTTTAAAGTGTATAAAAACAGTGTGACACTGCATTTTCTCAATGCTGCTAAGTGTCTGATTCCACGCTTTTGGAAACAGGTGTCCTGCCCAACCCTTGCTGACTGGAGGAAGGAGGTGGATCAGATTATGGAGGCTGAAAGCTGGGTCCATGTAGCACATAATACCCTGGAAAAGTTTTTTGTGATGTTTGGGCTGGGTGGATTTATTACTCCCGTGATCTGCCAAATCAGTAGGACAGGTAGGGTTCTTTTGATTTTGCATATGCCTTGCCATGGCTTTGGGGAATGTATTCCAGTTAGCTTACAGATATGACCAGGTTAATACCTTCATGATTCTCATGAGCTTGGTACCGAGGTTTAGGTTGATGCACACTTGCCCAACTGATTACTGTGAATGTTTGTTGTTGTTGTTCACTTCTTGTCTACCTTTCTGTTCTCTTATATATTTTTTTTTTTTTTTGTTATTTGTGGCCTCTATTGTATTGCCGTAATGGCCTACTATTCTATTATTGTACTTGTATGGGGGCCTCTTGTGTATTCTAGTGAGACCCCACTGCAGTTTATGGCACTCCTGAAATAGTACCTTTTGGAATCTTTGTTTTTTTCATGTTATGCTTTGGAGCTTGTACGATGGAAATTGAGGTTTTTAGATCACTGTATGTTTCTTTGAAAATTTTCAATAAAAAGAGATTATTTAAAAAAAATAACTGATGGGAGCTGGTAGAACATGCTGACTATTAACAAAACTCTGGAATTGAAACTTCCCTCACTTTTCCTTTCTATGCTGATAGATCAACACTGTGTTTAAAGCCAGTATTAGGCGAATATGAAAAATGTGAAGGAATTGACTTTGAAGATTTCTTGAAAAATCAAGGTTCACTACTAGCAACAAAATGCCAGTCTCGTAAAAATAACATTGACTCTCTTGTCGTGAACATTGTGCCAGTGATGGATGTCCTGATATCCTCGGCGTGTACTGATGAGAAGTGGGACCTACCATATGTTGTTCATCTGTGGCCCAGTGTTATGCTTCGCAACTTGCTTCCTTACCAAATGACATACTCAATGGAGGTATGTAGCTTTATTTAAATGATAGTTATTTAATGTTGTTTAACAGAAATGCAAGTGTTTTACCCAGATGGGTATTGCAAAATTATACCTCTCATTGATAATATGCTGTGGTTACTTTTCTCCCTTAGTAGCAAGGTAAAGTGCATTACCTGGAGTGCTTTCTTTGTGGCAATTGGTATACATTGTATTTATATCTCTATAAATATCACAATGTTAGCATGACTATAAGGTTAAAGCAGAACTTTACTCATAACAGCTTGATAAAAAAATAATGTTCTTTAGCAAGAAAAATATATTCTACATTAATAAGCTTGCTATCCAAATTTGTGTGTGCTGTAAATTCCCTCCTGAATTGTTCCTGTTTCTTCTTGCTGGAGGCGCCATTTTGCTGAAGCCCAGAATCCTGAGCTGCAGTAAATCTTTAGGCTGTTAGCAGAACGACCTCTACAAATTCAGCACAGTGCCTAAAAATAGAGAGAGCAACTGAGCATGTGCAGAGCTAGGTGAGGGAATGTATTACTAGATTTTAAACTGTATAGGCACTTATTTTTAATGTTTCACTACTTTTCAGCAAAAGGGGCCAGTCTGAAGTGATCTAGCAGGACTTCAGTTTCTGACTAAAGTTCCACTTTAACGTAGCCTATAACAGGCATATTTTTATTCGTAATAGCCTCTTGGAGTGCACTCATTTACTTTTCTCTGACACCCCGGTATGAAGTTCTAGCCCCAAACTATATGTAACTATTAGTAAATATCGATAATATGGCATTTTAATATGTTCTCTAACACTTAAGTTTTAAAGTGAACTGCTGTTTTATAGTGTTCTGATATTTTTAGAGTACAGAAGAGGGGCACGTTACAATAGAAGATGGATGTTCAGTTCAGATACACAATGCCGTAATAGATCAATCCAAACTCAAGCTACGTTTATTAAATTACCATGACATGAACTGGGAAGCCATGTATGCAATCAAGAGCAAGCAGCAGGATATTCACTTTATCACATTCCGTTGTGTGTCAGATCTAGACAAGACAGAACTGGACATTGCTGTTCATGTCACTTACGCCACTGGGCAAACAATTATTGCAATTCATAGTCCATACTGGATGGTCAACAAGACTGGAAGGATGCTACAGTACAAGGCTGATGACATACACCGAAAGCATCCTGCTGACCACAAGAAGCCCCTTTTGTTCTCATTCAAGCCAAAGAACTTTATCCAAAACAATAAGGTATCATTAGAACTAAAGTTAAAATACTTCAAGCACATTTTTAAATATTTGTATTTATAGATACTGTTAAATCTCAATGTACTAATGTAAAAGATCAGAAATCCAAGGGCAAAAATCCCTGTTTTCCTAATTCCTTGCAGGTACTTTTAGACTATATACAGGAAGTAAGGTGAGCCGGATTAGGGATGGGGTTTGTAGGACTAGAAACACCATGTTGCTTCTGAAGGTAGAGACGTGCATAATCATGGATGCATTATTGGATACTGCAGAATATATTACCATAAAAGAGATTACAGTCTGACATTATACATATCATCCAAGACATTAGAGTGTAACATAGAAGAATTAAGAGGTAACAGTGACTAGTAAGGTCCTATATAGAGAGCATCTCTATGCACTTATAGTATTAGAGGATTTAGACTGGGTTCACATATGTGCGTGCAGGTTTGCAGTGTGATTTTAAAGCCTGGTCCAGTGCAAGTTCGTTCAGTGGTTCAGGTGCGATTCCGATGCGAATTGTTAAAGTGTATGAGATTGGAAATTGCACCTGAACCTAACTGAAAATCGCATAGGACTCTCTTTTTCAAATCACACTGCAGCCAGCCCACACATATGTGAACAGGCTCCACAGAAAATGTCATGCGAATTGGTGCTGTTCAGAATGCATCTGAATTTGCATATATATGAACCAAGGCTTAGAAAATTTCAATTTGTAATAATACTCATAGCCCCTTCTGCAAATTAACCTTCAAGATATCTTGGTAGACATGCACTCAGTGCAATGTATGCCATATACAGTACATACTGTAGTTATATAGTTGGTCGAAGGAAGACACAAGTCCATCCAATAGAAAAAAAGTGAACTATAGAAATTCTCAATGTACACAATCCTATACCCACAGTTGATCCGGAGGTAGGCAAAAAAAAAAAAAACAATAAAGCATGATCCAATTAAACATTCCTTCCTGATCCCTCAGGAATCAATCTGATATTCCCTGGATCAACTACCCCTGGTGTTATTATCTGTAAATGTTAGTATCCAGTTATATTTTGTCATTTAGGACTGTATACTGCTCTCTTTTAAAATGATCTCCTAAGTTGGCCAAAACTAGTTCTTGAGGGAGTCTATTCCACCTTTTTGCAGCTCCTACTGTGAAGAAGTCTTTCTTTATGTGGAAGTTAAATCTCCTTTTCTCCAGACCTAAAGAGTGCCCGCTTGTCCTCTGTAATGACCTAAGTAAATAACTCTATACCAAGTTCATGATATGTGGACCACTTATGTATTTATACATGGTGATCATATACCCCCTTAATTGTGTCTTCTCAAGAGAGTATACGTACATTTCAGCTAATCTTTACTTGCAGCTGAACTCTTCCATGCCTGGAGCTGTAGCCTAAAACTGAACAGAATATTCCAGATGGGGTCTTACTAATGGATTTATCTGTGATCTACCAGAACACCCAGATCCTTCTTGACCATTGACGAGTTAGTCCCCAATTGCATAACTTTACATTTATCAACATTTAGACCTCAATGAATTAATGCAAGTCTGCTTGTATGTTGGCGACATCCTGTAAGGACATTATTCCTCTACATAGCTTGGTGTCATCTGCAAACATTGAAATGGTACTTTTTCCATAAATGCATACATACATCAATTTATCAACATTGATTGCACAGTAAATAAGCCATAATGTGTGGAATATGCAGTTATGCTCTTAGGCATTCAGTCATATTTTCAAAGGTAGCATATACAGTGGGAAAAATAATTATTTGATCCCCTGCAGATTTTGTAAGTTGCCCACTTACAAAGAAATGAAGGCTCTATAATTTTTTATCATAGGTGTATTGTAAATGATAGAGACAGAATATCAACCAGAAATCCAGAAAAAACACATGATAAAAAAGTTATAAATTGAGTTGCAGTTCAGTTAGTAAAATAAGTATTTGATCCCCTACCAACCAACAATAATTCTGGCTCCCACAGACTGGCTATGTGCCCATGTGGTACACAGATTAGTCCAGTCAATTTAAGCAGGTGCTCCTAATGACAACTCATTATGTGTATAAAAGACACCTGTCCACAGAATCTCTTTCTTGAGCATCACCATGGGCAATACCAAACAGCTGTCAAAGGATGTCAGGGACGTGATTTTAGACCTGCACAAGGCTGGAATGGGCTACAAGACCATCAGCAAGAAACTTGGTGAGAAGGAGATAACTGTTGGAGTGATTATTCACAAATGGAAGAAATACAAAATAACCATCAATCACCCTCGGTCTGGAGCTCCATGCAAGATTTCGTCTCTTGAAGTAAGGATGATCATGTGAAAAGTGAGGGATCAGCCCAGAACTACATGGGGGGAGCTTGTAAATGATCTGAAGGCAGTCGGGACCACAGTCACCAAACAAACCATTGGTAACACAGTACGCCACCATGGATTGAAATCCTGCAGTCCCCGCAAGGTCCCCCTTTTCAAGAAGGCACATGTACATGCCCATCTGAAGTTTGCCAATGAACATCTAAATGATTCAGAGAAGGATTCGGAGAAAGTGCTGTAATCAGATGAGAGCAAAATTGAGCTCTTTGGCATTAACTTGACTTGCTGTGTTTGGAGGAAGAAAAATTCTGACTATGACCCTAAGAACACCATCCCTACAGTCAAGCACGGAGGCAGAAATATTATGCTTTGGGTCTCTTTCTCTGCTAAAGGTATAGGCCAACTTTGCCACACTGAGGGGCCAATGGATGGGGCCATGTATTGCAAAATCTTGGATGAGAACTTTCTTCCCTCAGCCACAACACTGCAGATGGGTTGTGGATGGGTCTTCCAGCGTGACAATGACCCAAAACATACTGCTAAGGCAACAAAGGAATGGCTCAAGAAGAAGCATATTAAGGTCATGAAGTGGCCTAGCCAGTCTCCAGACCTTAGTCCTATAGAAAATTTATGGAGGGAGCTGAAACTTCAAGTTGCCAAGTGACATCTAAGAAACCCTAAGGATTTAGATAAGATCTGTAAAGAAGAGTGGACCAAAATCCCTCCTGAGATGTGTGCAAACCTGGTAACCAACTACAAGAAATGTCTTATCTCTGTGCTTGCCAACAAGGGTTTCTCCACCAAGTACTAAGTCATGTTTTGCTTGGGGATCAAATACTTATTTTACTCACTGAACTGCAATTCAATTTACAACATTTGTAACGTATTTTTCCTGGATTTTTAGTTGATATTCTGTCTATCATTTAAAATACACGTATGATAAAAATTTTAGACCCTTCATTTCTTTGTAAGCTGGCAAACGTACAAAATCTGCAGGGGATCAAATAATTATTTTCCCCACTGTAATACATGTAAAAAAGGCAAAAGGATTTCTTGTAAATAGAACTGTAGCCATTGAAATTAGTTAGTTATATTCACAAAGGTTTATTTTTCTCAGATAATGACTGAGCAGATGTCACAATAATAACAAAAAAATAAATATTCTGTATTGTGACATGGCTTTTCATGTATAAATATTTTGGTAGTATTTGAAACCTACAAATCAACACCTTCATGTTTAGTTTGTGAACACTTGCTTTGGCCCACATTAATTGTGTTGTTTTTACAGGTGCAACTCATGATAACAGACAGTGACTTGTCAGACCCTTTCTCCATGGATACAGTAGGCACTCATGGTGCTGTGAAATGTAAGAGCAAACAGATGGATTACCAAGTAAGTTTAAGATTTATAGTCACAGCATACACTTTCATTTTGTAAAGTCAGCATTGTAATAGCAATAAAAACAATAGTTATTTTTGACAATCCAATATACGCTTACTTGAAAATCTCCTTTTAAGTATTGCTGCCTGTCAGCTGGACATCTCATTTCAAAACTTCCTGTATTCCCTGAATGTTATGCAGCTTTCCCTCTGCTCATTCCTTTACTTTACTTTTGATTTTTAAATATTTCAAACTACATATCCCATGGTACCTTTATGCATGCAAGCAGTGATTCCTGTACTGACTTCGCCTCCTGGAGCACCTCCTCTATAGTTCAGAAGGTAGGCTCTATGAAATGCTTAGCATGGTAGTGCCTAATCACAAGGTATACAGTATATGTGTCACATAATTCAAGAAAGTAAATGTATGGGATTATCAAAAAGTATATTTGTAAAGTTCAGTACCCTTCAGATTAATAGGCGTAGGCTAGAAATAATTGAAATACAGTGTAGACATTATCATTTTACATGTTGACCATAGATACACTTTAACTAATTTGCTTTGAGAAATAATACATTGTTTTGTGGTTTTGATGGTCAGGAAAATGAATATGTAGCTGTTTACTCTTTTATGCTTTGTTTTAGGTTGGTGTATCTATTTATGCCAGCAGTTTTAATCTCACCAGAATTGTCACATTCACACCATTTTTTATGATCACAAATAGAAGCATTTATAATGTGAGTGTAACTGAAGAAAATACAGTGAGAGTAATTAGCGTTCCATCTGGACAGGTAAGTACTATACCATTAACTTTCAGAACTGAAAATATAAACATTTTCAAGAATTTTGGTAGTGTAGCTATCTCTGTCTGTATGTGTCTAATTTCCTATTTACTAGGGGCATTGCTAAGTTCAGGGACTCCCTGGGTACATAAATGCAAATGTTGCGGGGCTTGTATAGTAATGTAAAAAACAAGATAAGGATGATTTTGTCCAGATGTTATGTTTTTTTGCTTTTCCTTGGGGCACTTTTCTTGTTTGCACCTGCTTTACCTTAAAACTATCTTAATCGTACAGTACAGGACACGGGCAACTTATTCATATGCTATGGCTTATAGTTTCTTATCTTCAGGTGATTGAACACTAGCAATCCAGTACTTTGCTATTCATATTTCATTTTCACGTAACAGAATTCTGCCTATTGATAAACAATGGAATAGTTCTTTGCACAATTGCTTTTGGAACATTATGTAATGTATTTCTTTTAAATGATTTATTTTTCTAAGCAGGGATGACATTTTTATCATGTCGTATTTATGAATTTATAGTATATATGTTTACAGTCAATTCATTTGGTCAGAAATTAAGATTCTACGGTCAGGTCCATAAATATTGGGACATCGACACAATTCTAACATTTTTGGCTCTATACACCACCACAAATGGATTTGAAATGAAACGAACAAGATGTGCTTTAACTGCAGACTGTCAGCTTTAATTTGAGGGTATTTACATCCAAATCAGGTGAACAATGTAGGAATTACAACAGTTTGCATATGTGCCTCCCACTTGTTAAGGGACCAAAAGTAATGGGACAATTGGCTTCTCAGCTGTTCCATGGCCAGGTGTGTGTTATTCTCTCATTATCCCAATTACAATGAGCAGATAAAAGGTCCAGAGTGCATTTCAAGTGTACTATTTGCATTTGGAATCTGTTGCTGTCAACTCTCAAGATGAGATCCAAAGAGCTGTCACTATCAGTGAAGCAAGCCATCATTAGGCTGAAAAAAACAAAACAAACCCATCAGAGAGATAGCAAAAAACATTAGGCATGGCCAAAACAACTGTTTGGAACATTCTTAAAAAGAAGGAATGCACCGGTGAGCTCAGCAACACCAAAAGACCCGGAAGACCACGTAAAACAACTGTGGTGGATGACCGAAGAATTCTTTCCCTGGTGAAGAAAACACCCTTCACAGCAGCTGGCCAGATCAAGAACACTCTCCAGGAGGTAGGTGTATGTGTGTCAGAGTCAACAATCAAGAGAAGACTTCACCAGAGTGAATACAGAGGGTTCACCACAAGATGTAAACCATTGGTGAGCCTCAAAAACAGGAAGGCCAGATTAGAGTTTGCCAAACGACATCTAAAAAAGCCTTCGCAGTTCTGGAACAACATCCTATGGACGGATGAGACCAAGATCAACTTGTACCAGAGTGATGGGAAGAGAAGAGTATGGAGAAGGAAAGGAACTGCTCATGATCCTAAGCATACCACCTCATCAGTGAAGCATGGTGGTGGTAGTGTCATGGCGTGGGCATGTATGGCTGCCAATGGAACTGGTTCTCTTGTATTTATTGATGATGTGACTGCTGACAAAAGGAAGCAGGATGAATTCTGAAGTGTTTCGGGCAATATTATCTGCTCATATTCAGCCAAATGCTTCACAACTCATTGGACGCCGCTTCACAGTGCAGATGGACAATGACCCAAAGCATACTGCAAAAGCAACCAAAGAGTTTTTTAAGGGAAAGAAGTGGAATGTTTCGCAATGGCCAAGTCAATCACCTGACCTGAATCCGATTTGAGCATGCATTTCACTTGCTGAAGACAAAACTGAAGGGAAAATGCCCCAAGAACAACCCAGCGTCTGGTGATGTCTATGCGTTCCAGACTTCAGGCTGTAATTGACTGCAAAGGATTTGCAACCAAGTATTAAAAAGTGAAAGTTTGATTTATGACTATTATTCTGTCCCATTACTTTTGGTTCCTTAACAAGTGGGAGGCACATATGCAAACTGTTGTAATTCCTACACCGTTCACCTGATTTGGATGTAAATACCCTCAAATTAAAGCTGACAGTCTGCAGTTAAAGCACATCTTGTTTGTTTCATTTCAAATCCATTGTGGTGGTGTATAGAGCCAAAAATGTTAGAATTGTGTTGATGTCCCAATATTTATGGACCTGACTGTATTAGTTCACCCAGAATTTGGGTGTGGAGGAAGCAGTAGACTGGTATGTTTTTTAAAGTGCCCTGCTAAGTGTCTAGCTTCTTTGGCCTTGGGTCAGTGCCCATAAAAAAGAGGAATTTTGACTTACCTGTAAATTCCATATCTTGGAGTACAGTACAGGATACAGGCAATTTATTCATACAACATGTGTTATAGCTTTATACCATCAGATGGTTGGGCACTGCCAAGCCTTTGAGGACATGTCCCCCTGGGTGTCTTCCCTATACCTTGGCCACCGTACCAGGCCCCCACACTGTGGGGATGGCCTGTAATGTTACTTCAGGCATTTGTTCCTGCATGGGGCACTTATCTTGACACTTGGTGCAATGTGTTGATTTAGCCACACGTTCCTCTACAGGTCCAGGGTCATCATAATTGGAACCCAGTCTCTGAAGATCATGATGAGCAAAGCTTTGAGAAGAGGTAACCCAAGGTATAATTGAGCATTGCTGTGTAAAACGGGGCTATGTTAGGAATGTAAACCTTTCAAACTTAGTGCTAAAATTCATCCACTCAGAGCTCAGTTTCAGATGGATAACCAGGTGTTGCATTGCACCACTAGTTGCACAGTTTAATGCTACTCCTTTTTAGAGCCCTTCTAGGGTACTCGGGCACCTCCTCCCACCCTTTCGCAACAAGGATTCTGTGTAGGGCGGTTTACACCTGGGTTACCACATACTCCTACCGGACACACTTACCCTATCTCCCACACTCTACTATGTGAATACCCCACAAGGGGGATAACCCTCACTTGTAGCTATGGCAGAGATAAGGCAAAAGGAAGCCAACTCTAAACAGCAGGCATACATTTAGCTTTGCGAAGGCCTGCACAACACTCAAAGCAGAATCTTCTGCATATGTACCACAATTTCTCACACAGATTATGGTTTTAATTCAGCTATCTTTTGTCCAGAGTTCAAAAATGCCTCACCTCTTCTCCTACTCCCATTTCTCAACTGGATTCAGGCCTTGATATGCCATCCTAGAGGATGCTGAATTGGAAGAAATTAAGACAAAATAGAAGCCACATTGGAGGAAGCTGCAGAAAATTTCTGTCCCCCACGCTGTCACTATATAGAAGAGGGAACTTCCCGCAAAATGCTTTCTAATGTTGAAAAGCTCCTTGTTTCTGTTTGAGAAAGCCTTGGCATTATATGGGTGGACTCTCCTCCAGCTCACCATGCCCCTTTGGACAAAAAATTACCTACAAGGCCTTGCAAAATATTCCCTGTTCATGAACAGATACAGTCAGGTCCATAAATATTGGGACATCGACACAATTCTAACATTTTTGGCTCTATACACCACCACAATGGATTTGAAATGAAACAAACAAAATGTGCTTTAACTGCAGACTGTCAGCTTTAATTTGAGGGTATTTACATACAAATCAGGTGAACGGTGTAAGAATTACAACAGTTTGCATATGTGCCTCCCACTTGTTAAGGGACCAAAAGTAATGGGACAGAATAATAATCATAAATCAAACTTTCACTTTTTAATACTTGGTTGCAAATTCTTTGTAGTCAATTACAGCCTGAAGTCTGGAACGCATAGACATCACCAGACGCTGGGTTTCATCCCTGGTGATGCTCTGCCAGGCCTCTACTGCAACTGTCTTCAGTTCCTGCTTGTTCTTGGGGCATTTTCCCTCCAGTTTTGTCTTCAGCAAGTGAAATGCATGCTCAAACGGATTCAGGTCAGGTGATTGACTTGGCCATTGCATAACATTCCACTTCTTTCCCTTAAAAAAAAACTCTTTGGTTGCTTTTGCAGTATGCTTTGGGTCATTGTCCATCTGCACTGTGAAGCGGCGTCCAATGAGTTGTGAAGCATTTGGCTGAATATGAGCAGATAATATTGCCCGAAAACACTTCAGAATTCATCCTGCTGCTTTTGTCAGCAGTCACATCAACAATAAATACAAGAGAACCAGTTCCATTGGCAGCCATACATGTCCACGCCATGACACTACCACCACCATGCTTCACTGATGAGGTGGTATGCTTAGGATCATGAGCAGTTCCTTTCCTTCTCCATACTCTTTTTTCTTCCCATCACTCTGGTACAAGTTGATCTTGGTCTCATCTGTCCATAGGATGTTGTTCCAGAACTGTGAAGGCTTTTTTAGATGTCGTTTGGCAAACTCTAATCTGGCCTTCCTGTTTTTGAGGCTCACCAATGGTTTACATCTTGTGGTGAACCCTCTGTATTCACTCTGGTGAAGTCTTCTCTTGATTGTTGACTTTGACACACATACACCTACCTCCTGGAGAGTGTTCTTGATCTGGCCAACTGTTGTGAAGGGTGTTTTCTTCCCCAGGGAAAGAATTCTTCGGTCATCCACCACAGTTGTTTTCTGTGGTCTTCCAGGTGTTTTGGTGTTGCTGAGCTCACTGGTGCATTCCTTCTTTTTAAGAATGTTCCAAACAGTTGTTTTGGCCATGCCTAATGTTTTTGCTATCTCTCTAATGGGTTTGTTTTGTTTTTTCAGCCTTATGATGGCTTGCTTCACTGATAGTGACAGCTCTTTGGATCTCATCTTGAGAGTTGACAGCAACAGATTCCAAATGCAAATAGTACACTTGAAATGCACTCTGGACCTTTTATCTGCTCATTGTAATTGGGATAATGAGGGAATAACACACACCTGGTCATGGAACAGCTGAGAAGCCAATTGTCCCATTACTTTTGGTCCCTTAACAAGTGGGAGGCACATATGCAAACTGTTGTAATTCCTACACCGTTCACCTGATTTGTATGTAAATACCCTCAAATTA